ATATTATAATTTTTGAAATGTTTTAGGACTAATTCATGTAATTATAGGGAAAAAAATAATTAATAAAGGTGTTAGCAATGCATAGTTATGTGGGTTGTTCGAAAGATGGTAACACAAACTAACTGTAGAGTTACACTAAATTGAAAGAATAATCTTGTTAAGTATCATCAGGAATTGGGTCTAATTCACGTTCATTCTGGTGAAGTCATTCAGTTTGTTAATACCATTAGGGCGGAATGACTTCAATCTGTGCATCGAGAAGGAAGATTTTTATATACACATATTTTCTGTCATGCCCAAGAAGATTAAGAAGATCAATAATTTTGATGTAAATTTTGAATAATTCAATGTAACACGTACATTGTGAAATCAAAAATAAAATAATTAAATAATTAGATTTTTTAAAGACAATGTGTGTGTGAAATAGAGGGCATATATTAATATATTCTTATCAGGTCGGGAGAACAATTATTATTTGCCTTTTTTCTTTATTCTGATAAAAATCATTCTCGCTCCAAAATTTTGACCGTGAAAATTGAAAAAGCACTAATATACAGTGTATTTTTTTTTAGAAAATGTCTGGTAAATAGTTATAACAAACTTTTAATGTGTAAGTACTATAAATGAAATTTAAATATATCAGATGTACAAAAGGTTACATGCAATTTATAGATGCTATATCATAATTCAGGTGTTTAGTAAACATTCAAACTACGATGTAGCAAAACGTAAGGAATAACAAATGTATTTTTAAACTATGTATATAAAGCATGAATTTAAAAGGTATTTAGTTTAGATTTCTTTCGTCAGTTTCACTTGTACACCATTCGATACACTGAAAATCAATTCAACACTCTTTTCTGCTTCCTCTTCCTTTTTGTTTTCTCCTTATAACTTAAGAAAAACAAAAGCCTTATAACTCGCTGTTAAATTAGTTTGAATTTCTCGGGATAGAGAAATCAAGGAAATCAATTATTCATGAACATGTAAATCTACGTCGAATAAACAATTTAATTTTAGAAAATTTATCAATGTTCTCCATAATGTTACTGTTTACATGTACAGTGTACATGTCCGCATCGTCACATAAACAACAATGATCGATCCACAATACCATTTCTGTATTGGAATATACAAGAGGCGGGGCTTACTGGCGGTGAGATTAAAGCGGGGACCGCTTCACGCATCAGTGCGTAAAGCGGTCCCAGGAAGCGAACACCGGGTTCGCTCTAGCGGACCCAGAGCTGACCCCGAGCGAACGCGGAGCGAACCCGGAGCGCACCCAAAGCGCACCCGGAGCGGTCCCAAAATTTCTGAAAGCGAACCCGAAGCGGACCCCGAGCGAACCCGTGAAGCGAACCCAGGGTCCGCTCCGGGTTCGCTCTGGTGTTAGGTTGTGTTCGGTCGGAACTGTAAAACAATAAAAGAAAAATAATATATCTACGCTACACTATTTTTCCTTTTGTTTTATTTTCTTTTCATCGGCCACTACACTATTGAAAATTGTACTCAATCTGCCTGACGAAAGAAATTGCGTTATTACATTTTGCATTCCTGCTTTTTGCTTAAACTCGACGCGAAATGTAACAACGCACAATGTAATAATCCAAAAATTGTATTATAACATTATGCATTATTACATTTTGCATTGATCTCGACGCAAAATGTAATAACGCGAAATGTAATAATCCTCAAAAGTGTGTTGTTACATTTTGCGTTATGTAACATTCTGCGTTGATTTCAACACAAAATGTAATAAAGCAAAATGTTATAATCCAGGTTTATTACATTTTGCGTTGTTATTACATTTCGCGTTGTAACATAGCATTCCAAATTGACTTAACTTCAAAACAAACTTCATTTGCAGACAGAGGTGGTAATTAATCTCAATGTGACAGATAAAGAGAATGCTCTGGATTTTCTTCAGGAGGAAAGCTAGTTAATCCCAAGGGACTCCTAGCAGCATTCAGTTTACAATGGGAACATCTTCAGCAATTATCCCTCTTTGCCTATGCATTCTTTTATAAAGTTAAGGAATCTACCCCACCACCCCAGCTCTTAACCATATGGCACATAGAGAACCAAACTTAGCATTAAAATATGTATTTTTGCAAACTGAACTACCATACCAAATTTGTAATTGATTGGACAACCATAAAAAAAGTTGCCCGTTCATTCTTATGCAAAGTTAAGGAATCTACCCCACCATCCCAGCTCCAAACCAGAAGACATAGAGAACCAAACTTAGCATCAAAATATGTATTTCTGCCTACTGAACTACCATACCAAATCGAACTTGATTGGGCAACTATAAAAAAAAATTATAAGAAAAAAACAGAATATTTGTGGACGGAAGAGTGACAGACGGACACACTGCTAGACAGACAGACTGATGGACAGAGTGATTACTATAGGGCACCCGCAAAGCCTTCAATGAATGCAATTATTTATGAAGGCTTGACCTTAACTTCAAACAAAAAGCAGTTGCAGACAAAGGTTTACATTAATCTTAAAGTGACAGATAAAGAAAAGCTACTAAATTTTCTGCAGCAGGCTAGATAATTAATCCCAAGGGATTTATTGTACCTCTCTCATCATTTTCTTGTAAAGAACGGGTGCACTTATGGGTCCCGGTAAAATTTGAAAAAATAAATAATAAAATTCAGCAAAAATTTTCATTTAAAATTATTAATTGATATTTAAACCATACGATTCAGTAATTTTTACCTCTGAAATCCATGGATATACAAAGAACAAAACTATACAATGATGTAGGGGTCAGTCGACATTGGCGATTTTCTATAGTAAATCGAGAACGGTCATTCATTTCAAAGCCTTTGTTAACTATGAGCCTAACGTTGTGCAAACTTGTGCAAATGACAAAAGACGCATATTACATTTATAAAACTTGTGTGAAAGTATGAAATTTGCACACGATTAGGTACAAAAAGTACAATGTTTTTCCTATGGCTAGTGAGAGCTATTTACCTGTATGACCTATGTTGAACCCACGTGTGGAATAAATTATTTAGAATACTGATAGTCACGTGAGTTCTACCCAGGTAAACGTTCCTCAAAGGTGCTCACTGCAAAACATATATAGGCAGGTTTTGTTTCAGTAAGTCAAAGCCCTGTCGCTTAGAGATGTTTACATAATAATTATATGTATTTGTTTTTGAGAACACGGGAGGGTAAGGGTATGCAAGACAATGAAACAGGTATTGAAAGCCACCTATACCACTCTTTTTCAATTTCAAATTCAATGAAACTATTAATGTTATTTTTCAAATGCAAGAGTACCAATTTCTCAGTTTAATCATTTAGATACAGGCAACTACACAATATCATTCCATATTTTTAAAAAACAGGTTTGGCACAAGAAATATCATTTTGCAAACGCGCCCGACTATGATCCACCATCAGATTGTTCAAGTATCGATTTAAATATCTATTCCTTGATTTACATAAACGAAACTAAAAGAAGGTTCGGTACGACTTTTATAGGATTTATGGGGTATCCATAGGCCTTTCAAAATATTCAATTGTTTCAAATCCATGCTAATTTAAGTGGCGCATTATATTTTTTTTAAAATTAGAAATATCCAATAGTTTCTAATTATTACCAATAGAGAATCATTTGGTAATATATTTTGAAGTAAAATGGCACATTAAAAGGGCCCAATTAGTATTGCGGCCTAAGTGCACTTGTCCTTTACAATAAGAACTTTTCAGTATTAATGATAGAATGGGGTTTTTATACAACTACATTAAAAATTAATAATATACTTGAATTAATATATATATATTTTTTAAGTGAAAAAAGTAAATCAAAACATTTTCTTTAATCTATTTCATGTGTTTAGAATTCAATGGAATCATAACTATCAAACAAAAATAAATAATAAAAATTCATATTAAAATTCACATTTCAGAGTGTTCATAGCATTCCAAAATGACTTTATTTCAAAACAAACTTCATTTGCAGCCAGAGGTGGTAATTAATCTCAATGTGACAGATAAAGATAATGCTCTGGATTTTCTTCAGGAGGAAAGCTAATTTATCCCAAGGGACTCCTAGCAGCATTCAGTTTACACTGCCAACATCTTCAGCAGTTATCTCTCTTTGCCAATGCATTCTTATATAAAGTTAAGAAACCTACCCCACCACCCCAGCTCTAAACCATGGGACATAGAGAACCAAACTTAGCATTAAAATATGTATTTTTGCAAACTGAACTACCATACCAAATTTGTAATTGATTGGACAACCATAAAAAAAGTTGCCCATTCATTCTTATGTAAAGTTTAGAAATCTACCCCACCACCCCAGCTCCAATCCAGAAGACATAGAGAACCAAACTAAGCATCAAAATATGTATTTCTGACTACTGAACTACCATACCAAATTTGAACTTGATTGGGCAACTATAAGAAAGGTTATTAGAAAAAACAGAAAATTTGTGGACGTAAGAGTGACAGACAGCTAGACAGATAGACTCTGGACAGAGTGATTACTATATGGCACCCAAACTTTATTTTGGGCTTTTTTGGTCATAGGGGTTTAAATAACATAGATTAATCATAATAACACATTTTACCAGCAAAATTAAATTCTCAAAAATGCAGCTCGTATTTCTTTAATTAAGTGAATAAGTTGATTGACCAATGCTAGAAAATGGAGAAACTATCACCAATTATGTGCAGAAAATTTTGCGTCGTAAATTGCACATTTTCATAACGGGAAGGTCAGACTGATAAAAACATATTAAAACATATCGCTACAGTTCTCCCTACACTGTCACATGACAGTTCTAAGCAGATCTCTCTCTCTTTGTATATCAATGTCCTACTTACAACATGTGCACTGCTTCAATAAATATAAATACATCGAATGCTATAACTTTTATTTCTATATAAGGATGATCTGCGATATGCTGCATTATTGCACAAGAAAATAGCACTATGAAACTAGAAAAAAAGAAAGGAATGGAAAAGAATTCCAAAAATATTCATAAACCCCAAAACCCATATAATATACCCTTTATATAAGTAACATTGATAATTGTATGTAAATGTATATTTGAAAAATATATAAATTAAGCATATAAAGTGAAAAAAAGATAAGTGATAAAGAGAAACAAAGATGGCTTTTTCCAACAATCGGTGGTAATTTTCCCCCGAACATAAATCCATACTTAATAATAATATATATATTGCTAAATCTCAATTATAGCTATATCTTTGGATAAGAAATCCATCTCATTGGATAGAAAACTATGTATTGCTAAAACCTACATCAAAACATTTGAACTACGATTATATCTTATATCAAAACAACATATTAAAAGTTTCTTTCAAATCAGAAACTGTCATCTCTCGGTGTCAAATATTAATCAATGGAGTAGATAAGCCTTGGCCTTTGTCCTCGGGTAACTAGGCGCTGAGAGCCACCCTGATCTGTCTGTCATGTTTTCCCTCAGACAAGCATGTGACGCTCAGAAGTGGATGGTCTGTTTTCTGTAGATATTTCTGAAAATTCAGACATGGTGTAACTTTATTAATCCTCAAGATCTGATGAATGAACTTTCAAGGTTATGACCATAAACATAACAACATGTAAGATCTAGTTTTGCTTTAAGTGAAAATGTACAAATTTGATAAAAATACACTGTAAAATTAATAAAATTTTGTGTGTTCCAGTGTAAATCAAGATGTATCATTTATATCTACTGATAATACAGTTCTGCTTACATGGGCATAAGTCATTGCATTCTTTCTTTTATCACTATTAATAATACAGTTCTACTTACATGGGCATAAGTCATTGCATTCTTTCTTTTATCACTATTAATAATACAGTTCTACTTACATGGGCATAAGTCATTGCATTCTTTCTTTTATCACTATTAATAATACAGTTCTACTTACATGGGCATAAGTCATTGCATTCTTTCTTTTATCACTATTAATAATACAGTTCTACTTACATGGGCATAAGTCATTGCATTCTTTCTTTCAGCAACAGAGGTTTCCAATCCAATCCAGACGAAGACAGCTTTCTGGTGTCGACAATAAACACATCCTAATGTTAAATAAGTCAACAGAAATATATTTATATCATTGTTAAACTCAGCTGAATTTAGACAGCTTTCTTGGTGTTGACAATAAGCACATCTTAATGTTAAATAAGTCAACAGAAATATATTTATTTCATTGTTATACTCATCCAAACTATGGTGAGTTTTAAACAAGTCTGACCTAAGACAGAGTGAAAAAAGAATTAGATAGATTACACGATCAGTACGTACTGGTTCCTGCCGACAAAGCAGGTAACAACATTGTCTTCGTTTGTAAGGCTCATTATATAAATTGCATTTTAGAAGAACTTGGACTTAATTCCACGAGTGGTAATCCTACTTATACATATACTACTCTTTCTAAGGAAGAAATTCTTCAAAATCACCTGTCAGTTTTGAATACTTTTAATATTCCACAGAGCCAAAATGAATTTGAACTACCTTATATATATATTGGATTCCGAAACTTCATAAGAATCCTTACAAACAAAGATACATTGCAGGTTCCAGTAAATGTTCAACCAAGCCTCTTTCGTTACTTCTCACTTAAATATTGACAGTAGTGAAGGAAAAACTTCAAGAGTACTGTACAACTATATATTCAAGAAGTGGTGTAAATCAGATGTGGATACTTAAAAATTCTAAAGAACTTTTGGACAATTGGAAATCACAAGACTTTACAAAAATCAACAGCATAAAAACTTACGACTTTTCAACTTTATACACAACAATTCCGCACGACAAATTAAAATCCATGCTTTTTGATATCATTGACAGCTGCTTCTTGAACAAAAATGGAACTCGTAAATTTACTTACCTCGTCATTGGTCATTTGAAAAATTATTTTGTTAAAACAGATTCTGATTGTACACATAAGTACTCTGAAGTTGACATCAAGAAGATGCTTGAGTTTCTGATTGACAATATCTATGTGGTTTTTGGAGACCAGGTATTCCAACAATCTATTGGAATTCCCATGGGTACAAATTGCGCTCCGTTATTAGCAGACTTATTTTTATATTCATATGAAGCAGAATTTATGCAAAATCTTTTGCGTGAAAAGAAAAAACCACTTGCTGTGGCCTTCAACTCGACATTTAGATATATCGACGACGTATTGTCAATTAATAATAATAATTTCCATTCCTACGTCGACACGATATATCCTGGTGAGCTTGAGATAAAAGATACCACAGAGTCCAGCACTTCTGCTTCATACTCGGATATTTTACTTGAAAAAGACACAAATGGTAATCTAACAACCAAGCTATATGATAAACGTGATGACTTTAACTTTTCTATCGTGAACTTCCCTTACTTATGCAGCAATATACCTTCATCACCTGCATACGGAGTATTTATATCTCAGTTGATTCGATACGCAAGAGCATGCTCTACTTATGAACAATTTCTTAAACGAGGTAAATTATTGACAAGCAAGTTGATGAAACAAGAATATCAACAGTCTCGTTTAAAATCATCATTTCGTAAATTCTATGGTCGATACAATGACCTTGTCAGCAAATACAATTTATCATTGAATGAAATGCTGACTGACGTTTTTCATACCAATTGTTAGTCCATTATTTATACACTGAATTGACTACGGATTTTTTTTCCGTTATTTCCTGATTATGACAATGAGCACACGGCGGGTGTGACCGGTCAGCAGGGGATGCTCACTCCTCCATGGCACCTGATCCCACCTCTGATGTTTCGGAGGTCCGTGTTTGCTCTGCTCTTATTTGTATATTTGTTTAATGGACGTTGAGATTGAATACTGTTCGTTATTTCCATATCCTTAACAATGTTTGATTTCAAATTCCCAATAGATAATATTTTAAACAGCAGTCTTCAGTGTTCACTCACCTTGCTGTCCAAATCAGACGTGGATACTGACCCACTCTTCTCTATATAGACTCACCTTGCTGTCCAAATCAGACGTGGATACTGACCCACTCTTCTCTACATAGATTAACCTTGCTGTCCAGATCAGACGTGGCTTCTGAACCACTCTTCTTCACAAAGACTCACCTTACTGTCCAGATCAGACGTGGGTACTGACCCACTCTTCTCTACACAGACTAATCTTGCTGTGCAAATCAGACGTGGCTACTGACTCACTCTTCTCTACATAGACTCACCTTGCTGTCCAAATCAGGCATGACTAATGACCCACTCTTCTCTACATAGACCCACCTTGCTGTCCAAATCAGAAGTGGATACTGACTCACTCTTCTCTACATAGACTCACCTTACTGTCCAAATCAGACGTGTATACTGACCCACTCTTCTCTACATAGGCTCACCTTATTGTCCAAATCAGACGTGACTACTGACCCGCTATTCTCTACATAGACTCACCTTACTGTCCAAATCAGACGTGGCTACTGACCCACTCTTCTCTACATAGACTCACCTTATTGTCCAAATCAGACGTGAATACTGACCCACTCATCCCTACATAGACTTACCTTGCTGTCCAGATCAGACGTGGATACTGACCCACTCTTCTCTACACAGAAAAACCTTGCTGTACAAATCAGACGTGGATACTGACCCGCTATTCTCTACATAGACTCACCTTGCTGTCCAAATCAGGCGTGACTAATGACCAACTCTTTTCTACATAAACTGACCTTGCTGTCCAGATCAGACGTGGATACTGACCCACTCTTCTCTACACAGACTCACCTTACTGTCCAAATCAGACGTGGATACTGACCCACTCTTCTCTACATAGACTCACCTTGCTGTCCAAATCAGACGTGGATACTGACCCACTCTTCTCTACACAGACTCACCTTGCTGTCCAGATCAGACATGGATACTGACCCACTCTTCTCTACATAGACTCACCTTACTGTCAAAGTCAGACGTGGATACTGACCCACTCTTCTCTATATAGACTCACCTTGCTGTCCAAATCAGACGTGGATACTGACCCACTCTTCTCTACATAGACTCACCATACTGTCCAAATCAGACGTGGATACTGACTTACTCTTCTCTACATAGACTCACCTTATGCCCAAATCAGACGTGGATACAAACCACTCTTCTCTACATAGACTCACCTTGCTGTCCAAATCAGACGTGGGTACTGACCCCTCTTCTCTACTTTAAATGTCAAATTTCCCGAGGCATCAGACAATCTGTGTTGTTGTCATACTTTGATAAAACAAAGTGTAAATTTATATGATGGAGCAAGTGGCTTTTTTTTATTTCAACGTCTTTTCCAAAGCCCTATCTTATAAAGTTCTTGAAGTAAATAATTTTCCATTCAAACAAGAAGAAAACATTTTTAATAAAGAATAAAAAATTAGGGATGGGGGTAACAGGAAAACCTACTTCAAAGACATAATTGATTTCTAGATGTGTGCATGTCTTTCATGTGGAGACTTAATAATATAATAATAATAATAAAACTTTATTTAAAGAAGGTAACCTGGTTAGTGCATGCACTATTCTTCCCCAGGGCCCTCTATACATCAATCACAAAAAGATACAAGATACAATTCATCATATATAATAGGAAATACAATCACAAATTATGAATACAGTGTCCATGTACAGAAATATGACAATACAGAAATATGACAATACAGAAATATGACGATCATAAAGTAAAACATATGCTCAAATAGTTGAGCGACAGCTTATAATGCAATTTTCTACATTACGTTTAAATGCTTGTAAAGATTGAGAGAGTCTAATGTATTGTGGAAGTTTATTCCATAGATGTACACCTGAGTACTGAAAAGAGGTCTTGAATAAGTTTGTATGAAATTTTGGTAATTTAAGATCGTAATTAGTTTCAGATCGCTGGTTATAGGAAGTTGAAGAATGAAATTCAAATAAATTATGAAGATATTTTAGTCATTCCGCTGAAAATTTTGTATAATAATATGTATTTGTACAGATCAACTAGCTCATAAATAGTTAACCATCCAAGTTTCTTAAAAAGTGGTTTAGAAGAAGAATCAGGACTTGCATCAAGAATAATCCTTGCTGCCCTTTTTTGTAATTTAAATAGTCTGTCCATGTCCTTCTTAGGGGCATTACCCCAAACAGTCAAACAATAGTTAATAGATGGTAAAATATAAGCATTGTAATATACTTTCCTGGCATGAAGAGGGAGAAATTTTTTAATCCTACGAAGAGAAAATAACTTATAATTTAAAGTTTTACAAACCGAATCAATATGATTCGCATACTGTAACTTATCATCAATATGTACACCAAGAATTTTTTCAGTTTCAACCATTTCAATTGTTTTGTCTGAGGCATTAAATTGTAAATTTGGATTTTCTAGTTTTGATTTTCTTTGTTGTGTTCCCATTAATATACATTTCGTTTTATCTACATTTAATACCATTTGATTTTGAGCACACCATTTCTCAATTTAAGAAAGATCTGAATTTAGTGTATTTTCTAAACATCTTGCATTATGATTATTAGAATACAAAGTAACATCATCAGCAAACATATCAATATTTGAATTGTTTACATGTAAAGGAATGTCGTTTATGTACAATAAAAATAAAAGTGGACCTAAAATTGACCCTTGTGGTACTCCTGCTGTGACGGGTAGAGTATTGGAAACATATGTTCCAAATTTAACACACTTTATTGTAAAGATATGATTTAAACCATTTTATAGCTGTTTGGTCAAATTTGTAATGGGTTAATTTCTCTAGAAGAATGTCATGATTCACCAGATCAAATGCTTTACTAAAATCTATAAATGTAATTCCAATTAGTTCACCACGATCCATTGCATTAAGCCAACTTTCTGTTAGTCTTGTAAGGGAAGTTTGACAAGAATGGAGTGCCCTAAATCAACTGGGATTGTGTTAGAAGATCGAATTCATTAGTAAAATTTTGTATTAGCTTAGCTACATGTTTTTCTATCAATTTAGATACAGTTGGTAGAATAGAAATAGGACGATAATTATTGATGGGGAAATTGTTGATAATCTACAGGATATTGCAAATACTTTTAATACCCACTTTACGGATATCTCTAACAAGCTTCTTTTGGAAATGCCAAAACATGATTATGATCCTAATATATTATGCAATTTTGTTAGGTCTAAGCTTGTTGAGGAAACCTTCTTTACTATTCATCAAATTGAGGAAAGTGAAGTTTTTAACATGTTAAATTCTCTAAATGTCAATAAATCAGCTGGCATTGACTTTATTGGGCCGCGTCTTTTGAAACTCGCATCTAAATATATATGTAAACCTATAACTCATCTTGTTAATGCTAGCATAGTAAGTGGCATTTGTCAACCTCCAAAGGTTTTGGCATTTTTAACAAATTTCGATGAAGAATTTTCGAAAAAAATGAAAAAGTTCATTGTAAGTGAGTTCGAGTATAGAAGAAATGCCTTTAACTTAAAGAAATGACTCTCCACGCCTTCGTATTATTACATGTAATGAAATCTGCCGGCGTGAAGCGTCATAATTAAAAACTCTTTACTTTAAATGTGAACCGCCGAAACCCCAAATAGAATTTAAAATTCAAGTCGTAGGATTTAAATTTCAGAACTTGTTTTCTGAATAAAGGGCTAAATAACGGCAGCATTCAACAAAATCATTGGTAAAGAACGGCATATGTAGTTTTTATCAGATAGCTGTATTGTCTTGCTCTGGGTTTTAAATAAAGATTGGACCAAAGCGAACTTTTAACAATATTCATAAAATAGCACTGAACTTTTTGGAGCTAGACTAAAACCCAGTGGTTAAATATCTCTGTTATGTCTGTGAGATTTCTGTGTATTGTTCATTATTGTCATTAATGAAGAAGCGGTACTGCAACTCTAACAATTCTTGAAGAAAACAAAGGAGCCAATGTCAACAAAAGGTAAAGATAACTCCTTAAAATTTAGATGCAAATATTAGAGCGTAAATATTAAACAAATTTTGCTTCGTAACTTAATAATGCTATTCAAAGATGAATATATAGATATATCTAGTTCATGAACATGGATTGAATGTTTTTGGCATTTTTAACAAATATTTCGTTTTAAACGGAAAGGTGTCGATGACAAATAGTAATTATTCCACAACTCGTATAAAAATTCGGGAAACTGAAACATCGCCAATTGAAATCAATCTAAAGGTACTTTTGAAAAATTCAAAAAATTCGAATTGATTATGTTGAAAAAAAAAGTCGTAACTGATGCAGTTAGATCAGAGTTACATTTTGAAGTCGGGAAGAGGTTGATTGTGTATGTCAATCAGTCGCGACTAATATTCCTGGAAATATCGAAACTATTTTTTTTCTTTCGAACAAATCCAATGACTCCCAATTTTTATATAGGTTGATAGCGCCACTGTAAAAAGACCAAACGTCAATGATTAAAAATAGGAAATTTAAAGTAAAGAATGCAATATTTTCATCCCTTTTTCAATTGATTCACAAATATAATAAAGTTCATGGAGACAAAAATTTTAAAAATAAATACAATCGGTATAATACATATTGGGGCATTTCAGCTAATTTTTTTAGTAACAGGTTTTACTTGAAAGTTTGATTTTTTTAAAAATTATCAATCATTGATCCTAACTGAAAAATCAAGAAAGCCAGGCACTATAAAAATCTCGTTATTTGCATATTTTAACTGCTTATATTTACTACACGTACTAATCCCTGTATAATACATAAAGAATTGGAGCATTGCTATGAACTTTTGTAGTGTAATCATTTCAAACTGATCTTCTTCAAATGTGCAATTCATTTGTATTTGTGTAATTCAATTCTCCATAGGTTCCACTTCTGATCTTTAAGAGATACGTTTTTACTCTACTACAAATTTATACCGTAATTGGACTTTTGAGCTGTAATATTGTTTGTTATCTCTATATATTTCATTTAAATATCTTTTGCCAATGGAGGTTCATAT